GGATGTGAAACCGCATAGGTCTACGTTAGCCTGCGGCGTTAGCTCGGTTAGCCACGTCTCCGTGAAGATAAACAAGCTGCACTCACGGTATAGTCTGTGGTTGTTCAGAGCGCACAGTTCGTCAATCTTATTCTGTAACGAGTTCACGTTGCCCATGATCACTGTCGGGATTGATGGTTTGAATCGCCTCCGGACTGAGGAAAAGTGGAAAACTGTTCTGTCATCAGACAAAAGAAAATTTGAAATTCTTTTTGGAAGACATGGATCTTTCATCCCCCAGACTAAAGAGGGAGAAAAAACATGCAGCTTGGTATCAGTGTTCAGTTTGACAGCCGGAGCCTCTGATGTGTGGGCGTGCACTGGTGCCTATGGAACTCGCAGCTTGAAAATCTTAAAGGCACCATCAGTGCTAAGTGGTTTTAGAGGAGCCTGAATGTAGAGCTGGCCTACCTGCAGTCCAGATCTTCAAACAACTAAAACCTTTGGTGCATCATAAAATGAAAAATATGACAAAGAAGACCTGGAGCTGTTGAGCAGCGAAAATACTATATCAAACAAGAATGAGACACCATTGCTCTCCCAAAGGTCCAGCAACTGGTCCCAGATGTTTATGGACTGTTGTGTAAAGAAGAGAGAGTTCTACACAGTGGCAACCTTGTTCCACTGGGCTGTGCTGCTGCCATCAAATTCAAAATGAGCTACTGCTCTTCTTAAAATGGTACATTGGCTTATTTAAAGATTTTATATGTTGTCTGTATTCAATTGTAAATAAGATGTGGATTTATGCAATTTAAAAATGATCAAATACTAATTTTATGTACATTTACACAGCGTCCTTAATGCAGTTAACTCTTTATTAACTTGGTTTTTCTGAGCTTTTCTTTTTTTCAACATGTTCGTAAATCTGTTTTTCATTTCAAACACACACTAGACTCAAACTCCGTCATCAGCCGTGTTTTAGTTTTTTCTTCTTTGACTTTCACTAAAAACAAAAACACATCAAGCTGAGCTCATGTTGAAAAATTGACATATTCCTTTGTTAAGACATTTCGGAGCTCTGTATGTGGAGCAAAGCTCATGTTTACCTCTCCGCAGTACAGGGCTGTCCTTTAAATTCAATGACCCGTTCAGCCGAGGCAGTGCTCTTCAAGGACACATTGCTAGGTTCAGGACTGGGGTCAGATCCAGCTGTAGTCCTAACTGTATTTCTGTAAATAAAGACGGTGCATTGATTTGAGGGCTCAGCAGTGCCATGGAGGTCAGAGAGTTTGTGACAGTTAGACATGGTCAACTCACATCTGAGCTCTAGTCTCGCTGTCATCCTGCTTTCTAATAACATCAATATGATGTTCAACTGAGGCAGCAGTCTTCAAGGAGATGTAGCTGTGCTCAGGTTCATGTTCAAAATACAGAGTTTTTAACAGTTTACATAGTATGGAGGAAGCTAACAAGAAAGGCATTCTTCCTACACTAACAACTTTCTTTGTTTGCAGTAGTTTGTACTCGTTTGATGACGACAAAAAACGCTCAGCTGATGATTCCTGCTGGCTTTGCTCCTCCTCTGATGGTTACCTTTGAATCTGAGATCATGTTGTGCTGGTTCACATGGTTCACAAAAGGGCTGCCACAAACGATTATTTTGATAGTCGACTAGTCACTGATTATTTTTGCGATTAGTCGACTAATTAGATCCATTGGACATAAAATGTACAGGATATTGCACCAGCATGCATCTGCTCTTATATAACTATCATTAGCTTAGTGTTTAAAGTGTTTAAGGTATGTGCTAACCAAAACTAAAGATAAGATGATGGTTTATTAAACTTTTAATGAAATTTGCAGATTGTCTTGGTGGAGTTTAATAAACTCAGCCGTCTGCTCCTTGCTATCTAAAATATTACAGGACACTGGAGTAAATTCTCTACCATCTCACACTTCTGTTTAATTGGTTTTCTGTTTGACGTTTATTCAACTGTGTGAAAACTAAAACTTTAATCTCAGCTAAACCGGTTTACTCAGGAACAAACAAACACTGAAAAAAGCCAAGCAATAGCATTTTTAAGTTATCTAAGTGACTTATACTGTATCATGTTAAACCTGAGTAGCAAAAGACCGCGGACGGTTTGAAAACGATGTGCCGGGAGTTGAACCTTGACCTCCCGGCCAGTTCGTCTATGAAAACGTCGGATCACTTTTGCAAATGTGTGATGTCTTGATAAATTAAGCAAATATTTGAAGTTTACACAGCTACATTCTCGCCTGAAAATATCTGAAAACTTTATTTTGCAACCCAGAAAGAGTAATAACAGCAACATTAAACCTAAGTAGCTGCCGCCATTGTTGGAAACTGGAATTGACTGAGCCGCGCTATGAATTCTGGGATAGGTTGTGTCACGAATGATACACCCGACCAATCCTTCAGATCTGGGGGAAATTAAGGACGCATTTGCCTGCCGCATATGGAGAAGTCTTCAAGTTTGGACAGCCTTTGTTGCGTCGCTGTAACGTAATCGGCCTACAAATGCGGCCTCTGAATTTGGACACAGACTGCTTCTTCTTTGGCGTTTAACAGCAGCTGGCATCCTTGTAAATGCATTGCTGCCATCTTTTGTTTCAGTCCGTTACTACACTCTTAAATCCTACTTATTCCGGCGTCTTTCAGCATCTTACAAAGCTTCAAAAGACGCGTCGACTATTAAATTAGTCGTCAACGTAATCGTGACTACTCAAGGAATCGTGGCAGCCCTAGTTCACAGTGTTTGTGTAATATGGGTAAGTTAACAATTACTGTATAATGAAATGGTTGGAAACAAATTAGAAAGGCATCACATTTGTTTTAGTGGAAGAATAAAAGCTGCTGACCTCGCTGAGTGGAAAAAGAAATTCAAGTCACTTAAACTAATTCATCATACTTCAGTAATGAACAAAGCCAAATAAGTGTCGTCCTAAGATATCGATCAGCTACTCAGCAGGTGGAATATAAGGTAGAGGCTGTCTGTGGTAACAAGCATATAAAGAAAATGAAGGTTTGTATGTCGACTGTAACCACCTGAGCAGAATGATAAAAACACAGACGTGAGGCCGATGACCTGCTGCTGCTAGCACCGCTGATGGTAGCAGTACTCATCTCTACTTTGGATTTAAAAAAGCCTTTCTTTACATCTAAAAGACATGATAGACACATTTTACTTGTCTTTGTTCAATCTCTGTATCAGGAAGCTGCCACTGTATATCAGTTCTATGCTACCTGGTCCTATAGACCACCTCAAACTCATTTCAGTAACAGAATCATACTGCAGGTCTCTGAAGTCTGTCCTCAGCTCAGAAGATCTGTTTTAGTTCCTAAACTGTATTCTTTGTTAACACTTGGTTAATTTAACAGGAACAGGAACCATTCAGATTCTGTGGGTAGCTGTTTTAGATGATTTACCTCTTCAATTCTTCAATAACTGTGTTTGTATTGTTTTAAAAAATTTTCTTAAATATTTTAAATTGTATTTGTCATTTTAAACTTGTGGTAAACTATTAAACTCTGTCATGTAAATAAGACCCAAAAAAGCCCATGTTCATATTTACCTCCCTGCAGCAGAGGGTTGTTGTTTAAATTCAATGTGGCGTTCAACTGAGGCATCACTCTTTGAGGACACACAGCTGGGTTCAGGTCCAGGTTGGTTCCTGTGAATAATGATGGAGCAGTGATGTGAGTGCTGAGCTGTGACATGGAGAAGAGTCATGGACAGTTAGAGATGGTCATCTCACCTCTGAGCTGTGGTCTGGCTCTCATGTTCCCCACACAGAATGGTTTTAGAGGGAGGGACTCCCTCCTCTCTGTCCTCACACTGATCCATGCTGCTGAATTCACATTCACATCAGCTCACACACACTTTCTACCTTTACCTGCAGAGGAAACACAAATCATCCCAGAACATACAGGATGCATTTAATGACACGAGTATCTAGTTCTAATCTAATCTCTCACACACCCTCTGTGTTTGAATGAAGGGTCTGCTGTTCTAAACTGACCAGCCTTTAGGGTCAGTGGGTTATAAATCCCTCCAACAGTGAGTAACTAAAATCTGTGAACATGCATCACCTGTTTTTGACTGATAAGGAGGAAACTTCAAAAACAGATACCCTACAGGTTTCCCACATCATGTCTGCAACAAATCTTGAGCTATGGATTTGAATGTATAAATAGCATGTCTGACATTATTACAAGAAGAAAGAAGGGAGACTGTACAACACTTTGTTTAGAAGGAAAAAACATCTACTATCCCATAATATCATGCCCTGTTTCACCTAAGACATGAAAACATGACAGGCATAATAATTTAAATGAAAATGTATGTGAAAATAAGGAATGACCATTTGACCTTTACCTTCACTGTTAGGTCAAAGTTCACTTTGTCAAAGTTCGAGGTCAAAGGTTACCTTGATTTTTAACCATATTGAGTAATATAGCATATGAAAGGCCATTGAAAGGGCTGTAAAACACTAATTATTTTCAATATGACGCCCTATCACGTCACAATGACGTCATGACCTGCTGACGCCATCCTACTGTAATTAAAAACATCATTAAACCTCAAACTTTTACTTTTGCCCTCCTGTATAGAGCGCTTCTGAGGTCCACCTAAGTAATAACCAGCATTCAGTCGAGAGCAGCGTCTCAAAGGCCAGCGTGGATGCCGCTGCGCCCACAGCTGGCAACACTCCATCACTACAAGTATCATAACAACACGCATGATTTTGTAATTCTGTAATTAACATTAACATTAACAACATCCTCCTTAAAGTGAAAGTGTTGTAAACATAACTTCTCACACGGCCAACATAAGACACGCAGGAATTTGACACACAATGAACCTGCTCTCAAACTTGACCTGAAAAGTATGTAAGGATTAACATCCCGACGGGAAACAGAAAGTAAACAGAAACAGATTTTACTATTTACCGACAGATGTAAGCTGTCTTTTAAAGTTGTGAGTGGTTGGGGTGACTGAGGTTGTGGTATTTAAAAACAGCGGTCGTTAGAGTTATTTGGGGAAAATGGCTGTGTTGCCTCTTATAACGGAAACCAGCTGGAAATGCTCCGCCCCGACTAAAGTTACCAAAGTCACTGGAAGAGCCGAGCGGCGGCTTTCTGCTGATTCTATATGAAGCAGAGTGAAAGCAGACACTTCTCTGACAGCGAGCATACAGTTTAAAATAAGGGAAAACTTACAGTCCCGAGCACACGGTGAAGAAATCCAGCTGCTCTACCAGTGGTCTTCTTCTTTGGCTATTAGAAACCGGCGCATTAGCGCCAACTGCTGCCAAATAAAATAAACTTCATTCTGACGAGGACTAATCAGCTATGACCACAAACGCATTTTATAATGAAATAATATCTGTAAGGGAACCTTGAAATATTCCTATTAATAATTAATGTTCATTATTAATTCACTACCTGCCGTCACTTCTTCCCATAATCAGATCATTTCCATTCAATTGAATTTTATTTATTCACTTTATTTTATTCTTCACTTTGAGGTGCTTTATATTTATATGTAGAATAATACAGAGAAAACACCAATGATCAGGCAGCTCACTATGAACAAGTGCTTGGCAACACCAGGAAGAACTCTCCAGCAGAACCAGGCAGCTGCCATCGCTGGTTTGGGAAGGATGTGAGGAGGACAGGACAAAAGGCATACTGTGGAGAAGTTACAGGCAAGACAGCACAAATTATAATCAAATTTTATTCTTCTTTCTTTAATTCTTTATTAAATCTTTATGGAAAGCAGTGTGAAGAAACTACTACTGCTACACTTACAGCTTTCAAGTGTTAGAAGTTACATGTCAAATAAAGCATCAGAAAAAGTCCCTTTGATAGTCGTCACAGAGGGTTAATAAGAGACTGTAACATCTATTTTACAGTTTTATTTAACAATTTAAACTAAAGTCCTTTAGCTAATAACCCATTTGTATTTGTAAAGGCTAAGCTTACGCTTGAAGCCACTGAGGTGTTTCTTGGCAGGGGTGACGCGATGTCACTGGTATGCATTAACTTATTAAACTTGATACAGTCCAATAACTCCAGCCATACTTATCTTGTCCTTTAGATTCTTTATTCCAACATGATTTAACATAACAGTGCAGCGGTCACAAACTGTTTGCTTCCTCGCAATCAACAACACACCTGGCGTTAATTATGTGCATCTAGTCTCAAACATAATAAGTTATGTTTGAGGTCTTCACTCACCCCGGTTCTGTTAGCCGTCAGGGCTGGGGGGCTGGGAGGAGGTGCTGGCCGTCAGACTGGGGTCTGGGATGCAGGGCCTCCCTGCTACTGCAGATAAGGAGGTGGTCCGCTTGCCCCTCTGGGGGCGGGGGTACCTGGACTTGGGATATAGAGTATGTTTGGGGAGTGTGACTGTCTGTGCAGTGTCTATTTGTGTCTGTCTACATGTTGGGTGAGTGTCGAGTATTTGGTTGTGTATATGGGGGTAGGAATGCATGTTTGTGTCCGCGTGCGCCTGTTCGTCTGTGTCTATATGCCAGGTTGACTCAACCTCTCTGGGTACATCTCAGGCCTTCTAAAGTACGGAGGTCTATCTCCCCTCACCACACTCCCTGCCGGTGGCTGATGCCCTCAGACGTGGTGTGTTGGTGGTCCTTGCCGTCTGGGGCTGGGCACTCATGTATGTACCGGCTCACTCCTGATGGCCGATTGGTGGGGCCGGGCGCCTGTGGCCCGACTGGGCTCCTTCCGGGGGGTGGGATGCCCTCAGGCCTCTGGGCCTGAAGCTCGGTCCTCTCTGGCACAGCTGGCTGCCGGCAGAGCCCGTAGGCACGCCACTGCAACCCCCTCTGGCCTCTGCTCCGTAGCTGCGGGGTGACCTCTCCTTTGGGGCTCTACTCAGCTCTTCCCAGGAGGGTGGCACGGTTCCCCCCCTTTTGGTGGTCCTCCTCGGGTCCTTGTACTCTGGGGCCTCTGGATTTCTGGGGCCTGGATCTCCTCCATACCTGCTTCATACCCTGGTGGACGGGGCTATGGCTCCCCACACTCCCTAGCAGATC